CTAAATAACGTTGACGCCTATCCCTACATAAAGGCTTAAAAGAAAGCTTAACTCAGCTCATGAATAATTCTACAGGTTGGCATTCTCGTAATGGCTTTTGTTTCCTTTATAATCACTCAATTAGGTCTGTAAGCTTTTTGTTTCCTGTAAAAAAACAATGAACTTCCTCCATTATCACACTGAAGTTTAATTATTACACTGCGCGGATAAGAAACAGGATAAAGCAAGATAATTTTAACTAAGATTAAAAAGTACATTTCATCACTCTGGATGGGATTTAAATTGCAGCAGTAATAGTGGGTTATAAAAGCCCTAATTATCACTGTCAGTGGTACTCAAATGCACTTTGGACTTTGATTGTGATAAATGAGTACAGCAGGTAGCAGTGAAAGCATGAGTGAAGTAAATCTGGTCAGAATGAGCCTTAAATGAAGCTTTCATCTCTTTCCTTACATTTAAAATGCAAACATGTTTGTTGCTTATGCCCAAAATTGCTTCCTAGACAGCAGAGGGCGCTACGTTCTTACCAGCACATGCTCCCAGTTCTGCATGAGGAAGACGTCTGCCTGATCCACCACTAGCAACTCGATAGAGGACAAGAAATCAAAGTCTCTCTTGCGTTCTCCTTCTGCTCCCAGCACAGTGCGAAGGCCCAGAGGAGACGTGATGATGATGTCGGATGAGTAGAAGGGGGCATAGAGGCGCATGCTGCCCTTCAAAATGGAGACACCTGGAGAGGACAGAGCAGGAGAAGGTCAAAAAGACAAACTCGGGTTTTTAAAGAAGCTAGGGTTCTTTTTTCAGAGCGTACCTATCCTGAAGTGATCGTCCACGTTGCCTGTAAAGATAGCGTTATAGTCGTCTGGTCTCTGCAAATTGGGCGGCTTCTCATCCTCGTCCTCTCCAAATTCTTCCTTGAACTTCTTCTTGTTGCTCACCATCACTTTCTTGCCTTTAGTCTCCAGCAGGCTGATGAGCGTATGGACGACCTGCAGCGCGCTTCCCCGAAATGGAACGAGGATCAGGACCTGACAGATTCATCGGGGCGATGACAGCAGGTTAGCAGATACCCAGCAATACTGATAGGTAATTAAACAGAACAAGAACTAGAAGAAGAATAAATGAACATTTCTGTGGATTACTTTTGGCCTGGTGAGACCTTGGTCTCGGAGTTCATCCTGTGGCTCGGCTCCGGCTTTAGTCCGACTCTTCTGCTCTTTCAACTGCGAGTTATGAGCCAGGACTTGAGAATTAGCCTTCAGTACATGGTTAAGCACATGGAGGCAATATGCACTGCGCACATATGGTCCCTGCTTGACAGGGCATGTCTCCGGGTAGTACAGATCTTTATAGGAGCCCATTAGGGCCAGCAACTCCAGCTGGAGAGGGCTGATCTCTTCGGCCTGCCCTTTATGATTGAACGTCTGGTTCAGATCCCTCCAGCGTGTCTCCACAAGTTTATGGAAAACTGGGAGGTTTGTGTCTGTCTGGGAGCCGATAGGGCCGAACTTCTCCAGGGGATTGGTGCAAAGCAGAGTTCCCAGCTTTGGCCACTAAGAAAGAGAAAGGCAAAGACTGAAACTTTACGTTTTGTAATATGATAAGAGCGGCACTTCAATTTCAACTTTTATATTCCAATTCTTGGGAATATTTCTGGATATTCATATATTAGAGTTATTTGTTTTAGAGCTATTTTTTTATGTATTATTTGTAATATTTGTATTTTAATTTGTTTGTTAATGTTCTTATTGTCATGGAGCAACTGAGACCACACAACTTCCTCTGGGATTAATAAAGCATTTCTGATTCAGATTTTTTGACCTATCATGCTTTTACTTCTTTTATGTGATATATATACACGTTTACAATAATGGATGCCAATATTAAACATGCCCAGAACATGTGCAAGTTGCTCCTGAGAGCCAGAACCTCAGTTTTAGGCTTCATGTTTTACTTATGGCTCCGTATGATGTCATTGAGCACAAATACGCTTAACACAATCACCTCAGGCACATGACTTGGGACTAAAAGCACATAAAGTCCACCACTCCTTGCTAATCAAACCCTATGTTTTAGAGGTGGAACCAATCTGAAGAAAATGGGGGGGGCCTTAAAGGAGAAGGGGCTAACACAGTTTTTGTCAGACAGAGGATTAAAACTGAGGGGCTGCACCAAGGATCAGCAACATAAAGCTACTCTACGACTAAAAAAATGCAGCTGTCGACGAGCATTAGAAGTCTCCTTTAATGAAGATGTATTTAATGAGACTGGTGTACCGTAATCTGAGTCTTTGATTTGCAGCCCGATGTTATCTTCTGCACGTCCTCTTCATCAAGCTCTGTGTCCAAATGCTGGACAAACATGTCTGTAAACAAAGAACAAAACTATAAGACACACCATACTCGTATCTAGAGCTGATAAAACAAATGTACAAGAAAAAATCTGTTTTTTTAAGATACCAAATAATTCTGCAAAAGAATTCAGGAGATCTTTTTCCCCCTCCAACCCTTTAAGTACCTTTACTATCTTCGTCCCGTGTTTCCTCCTGTTCTCCTTTTCCCGTGAAGTTGGTCTCCAGACAGAACTGGGACTCATGCTCTTTGTCTACAAACTCATCTCCCGGCTCCTTCTTGTCATCCTCCCCATCTCCTGCTTCCATCAAAGCTTCCTCTCCATCTGCAGGTTCTCCTTCTCCCTTTTCATCTTCATCACCACCCTCACTTCCCTCCTCAGCGTCAATCTCATCTGAGGTGGAAAAAACACAAACACATTCAGTGAAATCCAAAGTGGTTGTTGAAATAAAGAGCTCTGGAAACAAACAGCTCACCTTCACCAAGAAGCTCCTCCTCCTCTTCTTCTTCATCATCATCATCATCATCTGTGCTGTCCTCCTCTTCGCTCTGAGCTTCACCTCTTGGTTGGCTGAGAGTTGAAAGAAGTTTCTGATAGGCTGTTTTCTGCTCTGGTTCCTCCTCTTCTTCTTCTGGTTCCAGCTCATCGGGCTCTGACTCAGATTGTTCTGGACTTGACGGCTAAAAATTAAAAAAGGTAGCTCATGAATCCATTTATTATCGCTGTGGTGATGCTGTTCACGATTATTGCTGCTCACTGAATGTGGCATCACCGCTTTGTGTATAATAGTGAATACTGAACCTAAATCTAACCTCAAAACTGGATCAAATGTGATGGTTTATGCAAGGATGGGTGTCATAGATATTAAAAAAAAGTATATTACAGATTAATTATTTTAAAAGTAACTATTTATTTACTCACTTTACTGTCTGAAGAAGGCAATTTAATACACGACATTACTTGTTCATTACTTCAGATGACCTGAGATGCTTGGAATGACAAATTAACAATGTAAACCTTAGGCTAAAGCAGCCACTCCCCAAGTCTTGAGTGTGCAGCCCACTTACACTTGTTAAAAATGCAACAGAAATATTGTATTTCATTAAAAAATGTACTCAGAACCCATAAACCACACAGTCTTTAGGTTATACAGTCATATGCGAACACTAACGCAAGTGACCCACCTGCCACTGGGACACAAACTTTAATGCAAATGCAGTAAATTTAGGTCACAGTAATGTCACAAACTACCACCTCATACTCCCAGTTTTATTTCCATTTTTATATAAATAAATACATTTATACAAGTCTGTAACTGAACATACTAGTAAGTAATTTCAAACTGAATTTCTGTTATTACTCTGGCCCACCTACAGTTCCTTAGGCAGCCCACCAGGGGGGCCGTAGCCCACCCTTTGGGCATCAGTACTAAAAAGCTTTGATTTTGTTCCGCAGTCATTCCTGTTACACTTCTTTGAAGACCGCCACCTGGAGCGCATGCATAGCTGATCACAAAAAACAAGCAGGCATGCAGCCGTCCGCAAGGACCCTCAAGCTTGCCGTGTTACGATAAAACTTAAATCAGTCTAACCTGAGAGGCCTCATCAATGTGGAAAGTATAATCGAGGCTTTATTGGGACACACTCACACAAAACATTAAGTTTTAAAACAAGTCTGACAGCAGCGTTGGTAAAAACGAGCCCAAACTGATAAAATAAAACATTTTTAAATTTCAGGTATTAGAGGAGCCAAAACAATAAATACCAACTATTATTACATACTTTAAATAAAGCATTACAGTGCGATACAATGTAAAAAAGGAAAAAGAAAGGCACAAAAGGAAACAGAAAATTTTTTCCAAACTGTATTTATAGAATCATATACAAGAAGTCGGGGAGGAAAAGTAGACTTTGACAAGCCACAAACTTTTTACAGCACTAAACTATTTAGGACTTTCTACTCACCAGTTCCATTACTTGAGTTTTTTCAGGTCTTTCATTAACTCTGTGAAAAAGAGAGAGAGAGAGAGAGAGAGAGAGAGAGAGAAGAGAGAAAATTAAATGAAGCTGCTCAGACAACATATTTGTAAAAATATTGAAATTATTAGGACAAAGTAAAGCTTTGTACTAGTTTTACAACAATGATTAATAATCTGCCACTTATTGTAACCAGTAAGTTGCAGTTTATTATCTATCTATCTATCTATATATATATATATATGTTAACGCATTGGTTTTTTTGGCCTGCACCACTGCATGTGTAGATCAGAGATGGCACCAGTGGTGAGAGAGCTGCCCCACCAAAAGATAGAATTCAACCTACTGGATGGCTTTCTGAATTACATGTAAAAACAGCAGAGTCTGACAGCTCCCACGAGATGTGAGCTCCTCCTGCCGTCCGCATGGAGTCTTATTCTAACAGTTTAGGCAGAAAATAAACGAGGTCATCATTTAGAGCTTTAGCGGTGCTCCACCAGTTTCTAATCACACAGAGGAGCAGATAGCAGTGCTGTGGCTCTGTCCAGCTCTCCTTGTGTAACAGCCCATCTCCTGAGCTACCAGTAGAAAAAAGTACCACCAAATGCAAACATATAAAACGATCAGCCAGGAGGTATTAGGAGCGACGTTGTGCTGTTGTTGCCTCTCCGGCGTACCTGCGTCACTTTCCCCAGGGCAGAAG